TTATCAATTAATGGTTGTAACAGTGTAATACCATTGCAATCTAACCCAATCTCCTGCTTAATTATACTGATATTTCATTTTTTCCACAATGACTAATTAGAGATCTGCAGTAAAGTATCCTAGAAAGTTCAAATGTTATGATCCATCATTATGAGCTTTTTAATAAGTTCAGGATATCTTATAATTCCAGCAAGAACTATTAAAATCAAAAATCAAAAGAGAACATTCTTGACATATATCATGGCATAGGTTTAATTCAGAAGGAGACACACCATTACTAATCACATGTATTTACAGATTATTTAAAACATATATTCAATTCAGAATATATTTAAAATGTGGGGCAGATTCATAAATCAACACCTGCTTCAGAAACTTCCAAAAATGCCATATATAATGTTTTCTCCACATTCAAAAAACTGGTGGCTGCTGGATTTTATCTGCTTTGAATTAAAACAATTATGTCAATTACAAATCTAATATTATTGGAATCTGGACTGCATACAAACCCAGCTTGAACTGAGTTCATATTAACTGGAAGTACAAGCAGTAAACTAGTAGCCAAAGTAGCTATTAAAATTTTAAACACCCAAACTGATTAAAGAACTAGGTTGTAATTGAAAGCAAGAGTCAGGTCTTCATCCAGTTTAAGTGGAAAATTCATATTTATAAATGTGTGAAGCATCGGGGCCTATATAAGAAGTATATCAAGGAAATATGCACGCACTAAGACAGGGGTAGGCAACCTCGGCTCTTTTATGACTCATGGACTTCAACTCCCAGAATTCCTGAGCCAGCTAGTTGAAGTCCATGAGTCATAAAAGAGCCGAGGTTGCCTATCCCTGCACTCAGACAAACTGAGTCATTAAAATATTGCATTTTAGGAGAAACTGTAAATGACAAATGAAGTTGATTTTATTTTAATGGGTCTTTTAAAAAAATCGTGAAACAAGCAAAAAACGTTATAAGACTTTTTAGCGCAGCTTGTCAATTTTTTTTTTTTTAAAAAAGCATACCGGGGAAATATCTGCACAAATTCATTTGAAAACCATGTACAAAAATGCATGACCCTATGGCATTATTTTTTTTTTGGGGGGGGGGACTGTATATTAGGCAAAAATCACAAACCAAATGCGCATGTTAAAAGAATTATGCACAGAATGACTTAACAGTAACCTAATCCTTAAATTACGACTACAACTGAGACAAGAATCTTGATTGCTAAGCAAGGTGGTTGTTAAGGGAATCATATCTAATTTTACAACCTTTTTGCCCTGGTTGTTAAATGAATCACTGTAGTTCAGTGAATTGTGTGGTTGTTGCGAAGCCGGCTTCCCCCATTAGCTTTGCTTGGGAAGCCAGCTGGGAAGATCACAAGTGACAATCACATGATCTCTGCGTGCTGCAACCATTGCAAACACATGCTGGTTGCCAAGCGCTCACTTTTTGATCCTGTGATTGTGGAGATGCTGTGACAGTCATAAGTGGGAGGAACAGTTGCATGTTACCTTTTGAGTGCCGTTGTAACTTTGAACAGTCGCTAAACAAAAAAGGTCTGTCTGTACTGCATGCTTTAGAAAAACAAACTGAAAGAGGATGCAGTGAACTTCTTCTTGTACCATATTCGTTATTGGACGTTGGTGATCATGTTGGCGATCCTGTTTTTATCAGCAGTCGCACGAAAAAGTGCTACTGAGTTTTATCCAAACCAGTCCCTTAGATTTTGAAGCCACGATGTTCTTTTTCTGCCTGGACTTCGTTTGCCTCCAATCTTTCCCTGGAGGATTAAATGGAGTATGCCGTATTTTTCTGGGTGTCGCATCACATGTCCGAAATATTCTAACTTTCGTTTTTTAATTGTTTTGATGATTTCCCTTGGCTTTCCCAGGCGGCTTATCACCTCATTTCTGATCTTGTCAACCCAGCTTATATGTAACAGCTGCCTGTAAATCCACATTTCAGATGCTTGTAGTCTCTTCAGGTGGCCTTCTGTCAGAGACCGACTCTCTACTCCATACAGCAGGATAGGAAAAATATACCATCTGATTTTCAGTCTTGGGCTTCTGTCGTGGCTGCAGAAGACCTTTTTCATTTTGAAGAATGCTGTTTGGGCTTTTTCTACCCTTGTCTTAACTTCAATGGCCATGTCCCAGCTTTCATGTAAATTGGAACCGAGGTGCGTGATCCTTTCAACTTTTTCTAGTGGTATTCCTTCTAAATTTATTGGTGGTAAATTAACGAGTTGTTTGCTGACGACCATGATCTTGGTTTTTGAGGTGTTAAGCTTCAAGCCGTATTTTTCAGATATTTCTGTGACTCTGTTGATGAGGAGCAGAAGGTCTTCATGCTTACTGGCAAGCAGAACTGTATTGTCAGCATATCTTAAGTTGTTGATCCAAACACAGTGAACTTAGAACTAAAAAAGTAGAAAGGGAGACAAACCACAATTGACATATTTCTTCATCCTAGTCTGAGACAATGCAGAAATATTAGTTTTGGTCCCCCCCCCCCAAATGGGGATTGCTTTGAAAACCAGGAGTCCTTCTGTACCATTCATATAATCAGTCCTGGTTGGGAAGCCATGTGATGTGGACACTGCCTAAATTCTTAGTTCATACTTCACTATTCATGATGTGCTTATGAATTCACAATGATGTATTGTATTGGCTGCAAAATGGGTCACACCATTTAATCAGATATCCTTTGCGCTGTAAGAACACCAGGTTATGTAAGTTGTTTTTGTACAACCGATTGTACAGTCCCACACATTACATACTATATTACGACGTTTAATAGCATAGTAAAACGTTTTAAGAGACCTGTGGGGTCCTTGGTGCTCTCGGAGCTTGGTGATTTTCTTGCCAATGTTTTATTACTAAACTAGGTAACATGATCAGTACTAGGAGAGAGAGGGTTTTGCTCTTATTTTAATATACTACTGACCTGCCCTGTTAAGTGTTGGTGGGAGTGTTCTTCTTGGTGGCTCTTTGATGGTTCATGGTTTTAAGAAAAATTTGGCCAGGAACTAAATAGTAAGAATCCCTTGGACTTAGCTTATTTATTTATTTATTGTGTGTATACTGTATTTTTCCTTTCAAAGAAGCCATCATTTCACCTCACAAAAGCCCCATGAGGTGCATTGGGGTCAAAACCAGTGGCCCAAAGTGTGCAATTTAATCCTGGCCTTCTCTTGTGTGAATCAACGCTTGCACCACTTGGGCTACCCTGGATGCTGATGGGGATGGTTAAGTTCTTGTGAGTTCAAACAAGATCTGTTCAGATTAAGTCAAGCCATTCATATTCAGGAATTCATGATTGGCAATTTGAGTGAACTGAGTGTTGTGCAATGGCAGGTGTGGATGTGGAGCATTGTATTGTCATCCTTCTGGTTCAGACCAACTCATCCCATACCTTTCTCCCCTTCCTTTTCACTCAGATTTGTAGCCTCCATTGTTATTTCATTGACCCCCACAAAATAAGGAGAAGTTTCAACTCTGTCCATACACAGCCTGTGTAGTTAATAAATTTTATGTTCTCAGTTTGTCTTGTAAGACTCTCCTTCAGTGTGCAGTAATGTACAGGTCTCCTTCAACTTAAACCATTTGTTTAGCAATCATTCAAAGTTAGACAGAACTGAAAAAAATAGTAACAAAGTGACCTGCCATATTGAAGACCTTGCAGACCAGGGTGGGCAACTACGGTCTCTTTACGGCCTATGGACTTCAACTCCCATGTTGGCTCAGGAATTCTGGGAGTTGAAGTCCATAGGTCATAAAGCAGTCATAGTTCCCTCCTCTGCACCAGATCATTCTTCTTAGAGACCTTGAATTTTTGTCCCTAAATCCTACCTTGACAACACCATGTAATTTAATTCCCATACAAGCCACGAGAACATAGGAATGGTGTATTTCTGCCACACTGGCATGTCCACCTATATAGGTTGAATATAATAGTATTAATTGAAGTTTGTTTTAGTCAATCTCCTTGAGCTCCAGAGATGTCCATAGGCCACACTCAAAAAAGTGAAGATGGTAGTCACAAGTGTCACACAGTGAGGTTGCCATCTTGACTTTTTGATCATACCCTGTGAACATTCCTGTTGAGCCCCAATCATGAAAATTGCAGTCCAGCCACAACTGGAGGACTAATATTGCCCCAGCTCTCAGAAATTGGCAAATAGCAATTGAGTTAATTGGAATTGATAAATATTATTGGAATGCGTTTCAATAATATTGGAAACTCAAATAAAATTCCACTCATTCTGCTATACGCCAATAGAATGTTTTTAGGGGCAATGATCTTACGTTTGACATGACTTTTCTGTCAGTTTTGAACAATCTCATTTAGAAGTTTATTTTATGCTGTGAAAAGATATTCCATTTTTCCCATGTCTTTGCTCTGACTAGTTAACACTTATCTTTCCCACATTCTTTTTCAACATTAGATATTTATAAGAAAAAGGTGAGACTAGGGGCATCTTAAAAACTTTATGTCTCACTAATGCTGATGAGGGGGAACATGATAGCAGCGTTCCAATATCTCAGGGGCTGCCACAAAGAAGAGGGAGTCAAGCTATTCTCCAAAGTGCCTGAAGGCAGGACAAGAAGTAACAGATGGAAACTAATCAAGGAGAGAAGCAACCTAGAACTAAGGAGAAACTTCCTGACAGAACAGTTAACCAGTGGAACAACCTGCCTCCAGAAGCGGTGAATGCTCCAACACTGGAAGTTTTTAAGAAGAGACTGGACAGCCATCTGTCCGAAATGGTATAGGCTTTCCTGCCTGAGCAGGGGGTTGGACTAGATGACTTCCAAAGTCCTTTCCAACTTTATTACTATTACTATTACTACAATTGTTCTTCATATTAAATATGGTCTGGTCTGGTGCCCTGTTTATGATTCTTATTCCATGGCTGTATTATTATAGCTGCTATCCATAAATGAACCCATGCTTCTTTGTAGCTGTCACTCCTTCATTCTTTGTTTGTTCTGATCTTCTAGTGCCCATCCCTTCGAAGGCCAACGGGACCACCATCTCTTCCCTAACCATGAACAAGGACACCCTGATAGGAGGGGTGACCAATCCAAACGAAGTCTTCTGCTCTGTTCCTGGACGATTATCTCTCCTTAGTTCCACCTCCAAGTACAAAGTGACAGTCGGTGAAGTTCAGAGGAGGCTCTCACCCCCCGAATGCCTCAACGCTTCCCTCCTCGGTGGTGTACTTCGGCGGTAGGAACTCACAAGACTCATTTGTTTACGAAAACAAATTTGTTTAGTTTGTTAAACTGTGATTGAGGGATCTGTTTTTACAGTCATGAATTTCAGGTGGGCCCCATAAAAATTAAATGAATGAATGAATGAATAATCAATGGTTTCATTCCATACATCCATTAACCTTGTGAATTCTCAAGCTTCCTCCTTCCGTTATATATTCAAGTTACAGTATTTAATATTTATTTGTTATGTATATGTAGGAGTGTGGGTCTATACATATGCTGTACATACTATGTTTACGTATGTGTCATGTATGTATTTCACTTTGAGAGTGGGCAACTAAATTTCATTTTTGATGTGTGCCATGGTGCCCACAGTAAAAAAATCACAATAAAGGTTATCTATCGATCAATAAGGGAGCTGGTCAGCAAAAATATCTTAGTAAAATCCTACCCAAAAGAGATTGTCTCAAGTTAAGATAAGACTATATAGGCATTCCTAGATTTACAACCATAAATGAACCCAGAATTACGGTCATAAGTTGCAGCATCCATCAATGAGTCACCACAGGACCCATGCCTGATTTTACAACCTTTTTTTGCTAGTGGTCATTAAGCGAACACCATAGTCATTAAATGAACTGTGCAGTCATTTAGTGAACATCAGAGTTGTTAAATGGATTCATTTGACTCTGGGCATTTTTATTTTTTTTGCTGGAAACCAAAGTAAACACCAGAAATCAGCAAAAAAAACCAAAGCCCGCAGTCACATGACCACGGGATATTTCAAACAGATGTGTATGCAAGCCGGTTACCAAATGCCTAAAAATGTGATCACACAACCAACTCCACAACTGGTTTGTAAATAGCTCTTTCTGGTGTAACTTTGAACGGCTGCTAAGCGGGCAGTTAAGCAAGGACCACTGGCAGGTATTTTTTACGTTAATTTTGATGCATATAAGAAGTCACTACTAAACCATGAAACCTTTATCACAACTTAATTGCAAAATTTCCAAACAGCCCTATGACTTTTCCAAGAATTGTTGAAGAACAGGTTTTGGAAATCAGGAGTAATCTGGTTCCTTAGTTTGCTTGTTTGGTTGGGTTTTTTTAAATCTCATTCAGATTGTTTCACTCTTCTGCTTTCCTGTTTTAGGGCAAAATCTAAAAATGGTGGAAGATGTTTAAGGGAAAGATTGGAAAAGATTGGGTTAAATTTACCCGCTGGGAGGCGCAAAGCAGCAAATGTCACCTTGTTAACATCACTGGTGGAAGGTAAGATTATTTGTGTTTGGCCTGACAAGATATTATTTTGTGTATGTGTGTGTGTGTGTAGGAATTCTGGGAATTAAAATGTCCTCATTTTACATTAAAAGTGGGAAAAGTTGACCACCACCCATCTTGAATTATCTCTCTGACACCCTGGCTAATGGATTTACTAGCTACCTTCAGCCTCGCATCAGTATGACTCATTTTTTCAAAGTGTTCACAGAAAGAATTAAAATTCAGATGCAATTTTTAAAAAATCCTTTAGGACAGTGGTTCTCAACCTGTGGGTCGGGACCCCATTTGGGGTCGAACGACCATTTCATGGGGGTCGCCAAACAAGGCTGTCCGCCATCTTTTTCCCCTTTTCTTTGGCCACACCCCTGGCACACGGTGATGTATAAGTGGTTGGGGGTCACCACAACATGGGGTCACAGCATTAGAAAGGTAGAGAACCACTGCTTTAGGAGGAAAATAAAATAGATCAATAAAAAAACAACTGGAATGTCTGAAGGACATGATCAAAAACATCAAGATGATAGTTATGATGGCACAATGGAAGTTCTACTTGTTTTTAAGTGTGTCAAGGCAGAATTTCAGTAGCATCCTTTCAGTCACCATCTTAACTTTTTTGACTGTATTCCATAGACAACCCTGGACAGAGAATTAAAAAGGAGACCATTTCAGTTTAATTCCAAGTCTGATGCTTATTTCTTGGGGTTAAGCGGTCACCATCTCCTTAAAGCAGGGGTGGGGAACCACAGCCCTTTTATGACTTGTGGACGTCAACTCCCAGAATTTGATGATGAGCATGGCTGGCTCAGGAATTCTGGGAGTTGAAGTCCACAAGTCCTGAAGGGCCATGGTTCCTCACCCCTGCCTTAAAGCAAGAGCGAGCAATCTACAGCCCACCATCTGCTGGTGATTTCTTTTCCACAATCTGGCAGCCACATTTTTGTTCAGCAAAACATTGACAAAATGGAGGCATGATTTCTACTGAGCTTTGTGAGGAAGCAGCAATAAAACCGTGCAACCCATGAGACAGATTTTGCATTATTTCCCTCAAATAAAACATGCATGCCATACAAACACAGAGAGTTCCCTCAGTTCTCGTTACACCCGCCCAAGTGCACTCATTGTCTTGCTGCCCTATCACTGCAGCCCATTCTAGAAGCTTTCTTTGGTGGCATCCATAATCCAGGTGCCACCAGTGAAGAATACCTATAACAGTGTCCCCTGGGAATGCAACAGGCTACAGAGACAAGTTCTCAGAGATGGATGCAATTAGCAGTGTGGATATGGAACAGACTCCTTCACACATCTTAACCCAAAATCGTTAATCAGAGGGACAGGCAATTTGGTGGTCTCCAGAAGTTTTGGACTTTCATTTCCATTAGCCTTGGGCTGTAGGGGCACTAGCAATCAACTGTGGGAATTACAGTCCAGACCATATGGAGGACAGAGGGTTGATGCGGAAAGCAAGGATTCTGAAGACCTCTAGAGGGCATCTCAACTGTAAAATCACTGCAGTCTGGACCTGTCTTCTTCTGCACACCATGGTACTGCCATGGAGGGAAATGGCTTTTAAAGGACATCTTCTTGGGAAGAGTATCAGAGAATCATTGTGACCAAACAACTCAAAACGGACTGTGAAAAAGAAAAGAAGATGTTTTTCATCAATATTAATGGCAAAGATGCATGCTTGGACAGAGAAAAGCAACAAAGATGATTAGTGGACTGGAGGCTAAAACATACAAGGAACGGTTGCTGGAATTGGGTATGTCTAGTCTAATGAAGAGAAGAGTGAGGGGTGACATGATAGCAGCCTTCCAATATCTCAGAGGCTGCCCCAAAGAAGAGGGAGTCAAGCTATTCTCCAAAGCGCCTGAAGGCAGGACAAAAAACAACAGATGGGAACTAATCAAGGAGAGAAGCAACCTGGAACTAAGGAGAAACTTCCTGACAGTTAGAACAATTAACCAGTGGAACAGCCTGCCTCCAGAAGCGGTGAATGCTCCAACACTGGAAGTTTTTAAGAAGAGATTGGACAGCCATTTGTCCGAAATGGTATAGGGTTTCTTGCCTGAGCAGGGGGTTGGACTAGATGACCTCCAAGGTCCCTTCCAACTTTATGACTACTACTGGAGGTTTTTAAGAGGAGATTGTATAACCATTTCTCTGAAAGGCTACAGGTTTGCCTGCTTGAGCACAGGGTTGGACTAGAATTCTGTGATTCTGTTCTGTTCTGGGCCTCTGGTTTTCTACTTTGTTCAGAGGGAGCTTGAGGATTTCTTCCAAATTTCTCTAGGAAGTGTTTTTGATCGGACGGTAACAGATAGTCCTCAACTTACAAGCATTCACTTGGTGACCATTTGAAGTTATAATGGCACTGGAAAGGAGAGGGCTGACAAGCAGTCCTCTCACTTAAGACCGTTGCAGTATCCCCACAGTCACATGATCAACCCACCCACCCCGGGTCAGCATTTACAACCTTCAAAGGCCACTTCCAACAAGCAAAGTCAATATTTAAGCATTTAAGTCAGGGGTAGGCAACCTTGGCTCTTTTATGACTCGTGGACTTCAACTCCCAGAATTCCTGAGCCAGCCATGCTGAGGGGAAAGGGAGAGGTTTCCAAGCTGAGCCATGCTGGCTCAGGAATTCTGGGAGTTGAAGTCCACGAGTCATGAAGGAGCCATAGTTCCCCCATGCTGGCTCAGGAATTCTGGGAATTGAAATCCAGGAGTCATGAAGGGGCCAAGGTTTCCCCCATGCTGGCTCAGGAATTCTGGGAGTTGAAGTCCACGAGTCATAAAAGAGCCAAGGTTGCCCACCCCTGGCCTAGGGCCTAGGCTGCTTTATGACTCGTGGATTTCAACTCCCAGAATTCCTCAGCCAGCATGGCTCAGCTTGGAAACCTCTCCCTTTCCCCTCAGCATGGCTGGCTCAGGAATTCTGGGAGTTGAAGTCCACGAGTCATAAAAGAGCCACGGTTGCCTACCCCTGATTTAAGTCATTTGCTTAACGACCGCCTGATTCATTTAACAACAGTAGTGATTTGCTGAACCGAGGCAAAAAAAAAAAAAAGGTTGTAAAGTTAGACGAGTCTCACTTAACCACTTCCTTGCCCAACCATGGAAATTCCGGTTGCAAGTCGAGGGCTACCTGTAGTGGCCAGGTGCGATCATTTCAATCGTTTTGGGGAGTGCTGCCCTCCATCAGAGGAACCTCTCTGGCTGCGTAGACTTTGCAACCGGAAGACGCCCCAGATGGCTTTCCCTGGAATTCAACAGGAACCATGGGCAGAGGATGCAGGTCTTGGATAGAGGATGATCGGCTGAAAGTGACATTTCTCGTGAAATACGTACAAGAGCCTTACGCTGCCTCCACTCCAGGACAATTACTTGGGAAGCAAATGCTGTTGGACCAAACTGAGGGAGAACCAGCCGGGGGGGGGGGGAAGGCTGCAGGATTTCTTGGCTCGTCACAACCCCCATCGGAGGAGTTTATCACCTGGATGGCTTCTATGTGAAACACTACAATGTGTAGAAAGGCCGTCCGTCCGTGAGTTGGGGATGGTCTTAGTTCTGCGGTCTATTGTGACGGAAAGGCAGCTGCTGGAGAAGAACAGAAAGAAGCCCCTTTGCTTTGTTGGCAGCGGATGAAACGGACAGTTGTGGGAGGCTGCGGTTGTCTTTGACGGCGGCTTTTGGGACTGGATGCTCCTGAATGGTTTATTTCCATGAGAAGAGGAGGAGGAGGAGGAGGAGGAGGAGGAGGAGCAGGGCAAGGAAACAAGCATTTCGGGCTCAGCCCAGACAGCTGGGAGCTGTCATTGACTGCTGATCAGGGGGGTCAGTATAAATGACAGATGATAGCTTGTTTGCCCAAGGACAATCAGTCCTACCCCACAAAGCGTGGCCCTTCCTTTGAAGGATTTTTAAAGGGAAGCCTTCTATTTTCAGGGCTCTTCAGGATAAATGAACTCCAGGAAAGTGCATTTAGGGTGGATGGGCTAGACGATTTCCACCCCTAGTTAGCACTTATAGGCCAGAGGGAATAGGCAACATAAACGTCTCCTGTTCACCGTCCCAGCCTTTCCAAAAAAGGACGTTGAAATACATGAGGGTCTTTTCCAATGAGATCATACTTTTGCATTGCTGCATAAACATCCCAGCATGCAAACCTGGGTCCTCTTCTTTGGCTCAGCATTTCCTCTTGTTTCCTTTGTCAAGAAGAAAGAAAGAAACAAAGGAAGGAAGGAAGGAAGGAAGGGGAGGAGGAGGAGGAGGAAGAGGAGGAAGAGGAGGAGGAGAAGGAGGAGAAAAAGAAGAAGAAGAAGAAGAAGAAGAAGAAGAAGAAGAAGAAGAAGAAGAAGAAGAAGAAGAAGAGAAGAAGAAGAAGAAGAAGAAGAAGAAGAAGAAGAAGAAGAAGAAGAAGAAGAAGAAGAAGAAGAAGAAGAAGAAGAAGAAGAAGAAGAAGAAGAAGAAGAAGAAGAATTTTGTATGGTGGTGGTGGTGGTGGTAGAGAAGGAGGAGGAGGAGGAGGAGGAGAAGGAGAAGAAGAAGAAATAGAAAAAGAAGAAGAAGGAGAAGAAGAAATAGAAAAAGAAGAAGGAGGAGGAGGAGGAGGAGGAGGAGGAGGAGGAGGAGGAGAAGATGCTGCTGCTGCTTGGATGAGGAGCCAAACGTCTCCAGGGAAAAACCAGAAAGTCCAGTTGCCTCTTGAAAAAAGCACCTTTGGGACAACCCTGACCTGGATGACTGAGAATCTCCATAGACTTTGGTTTGTTTGTTTGTTTTGCCTTTCAGAAAGGCTTTACTAGATTTGAAGCACCCGCCAAATCTTACAGTTCACGGAAGGGCATTCTCTTGGGAAAAGCAGCCTGGCCTGTTTGCATTCCTACAAAGTGTTAACAAATCCTCCCCCCCCCCCCAAAATCTATATCAAATAAAGAAGAACAGAAACGGAACTTACAAGCTTACAAACTTTTAAAACAGGTGAAGTCTATTTCAATGCCCCAAGAAGCTTGGCTTGCCAGAAGGGTCCAAACGAGAGTGTGGCAGTTTGGATTCCTGCACTGAGACAGGATGGACTCCAAGCGGCCTCCAGTTCACAGATTCGATGAATCTGCGAGTCTCATTTACCCTTCGACACGTGGAAAAAATTGTGGAACGAAACACTGGACATTCCCATGAGGTAACCCTTGGTTATCTCATCTTTTGGGGAGGGCAAGATTCTCCCAAGCTATCTAGGAAAATTTCCCCCCCAATTCCGTTTTCAGATGACATCTTTGCAATCCAGTAGTAAAAAGGCACGGGATATTTCTGCACGGCGTTTATCCCAGGATGTGTGCATGGGCTTAAGGTAGAGGTGGCATCTGTTGGTGCTGTTATGTGTAGGGAGGGGTGTGAGAAGGTGCAGGAGGGAGACTCGGCCTGTCCAATAGTCTCTGCACAAAAGTCCCAGATCTCCGGGGGCAGCTGCAGTCAGGAGGGGATCCATCATTCTGTGGAAGTGCCCCTGCATTGGTGAAATTGATCCAGCTTCAGGCATTATTGTGGAAGTAATCGGAGCGGATGGGCAATCGATCATACCCAGCTCCCGAACTCAAGTTAAACAGACAGAGTTAATTCATCTTCCCTCCCTTGCTGTGCTTCGGGTTAAGTCATCCATCCTATAATGTGTTAACCTACTTGCTGGCCTCGCTCTCGGTGCAACGTCTGGGCCTCCCGTTCAGCCCCTCTGAGCGAGAATCGGCTAACAGGCCAGGGCACAAATCCTACAAGGTTCTAGTTCTCATGGTTATATGGGCTGATGCCTATCAATCTTGGAAGAAAGGCAGCCGAGGGTAGGAGGGTGGCCAGAGGTCTGGGGAGATCCGTTCAAACCCAACCACACCAGGAAAGCCCCCTTGGGATATCACTTCGCAAGGCTGTTGTAGGGATAAAATGGAAGTGGGAATATTCTAGGCCAGTAATTCTCAACCTTTTCTTCACCACGGACCCTCTTTAAATATCTTTCATGCTCACAGACCCCCAAGACCCAACTCAAGGTAATGAAGAGAAGGAGGGGGACATAATAGCAGTGTTCCAATATCTCAGGGGCTGCCACAATGAAGAGGGAGTCAAGCTATTTTCCAAAGCGCCTGAAGGCAGGACAAGAAGCAACGGATGGAAACTAATCAAGGAGAGAAGCAACCTAGAACTAAGGAGAAACTTCCTGACAGCGAGAACAATTAACCAGTGGAACAACCTGCCTCCAGAAGCGGTGAATGCTCCAACACTGGAAGTTTTTAAGAAGAGACTGGACAGCCATTTGTCCGAAGTGGTATAGGGTTTCCTGCCTGAGCAGGGGGTTGGACTAGATGACCTCCAAGGTCCGTTCCAGCTTTATTATTATAATATTATTATTAAGATTCAAATCATAACATTTTTTAAGTCTTCACGGACCCCCTGTGACGACATGGCCAGGAGTCTGCAGACCGCAAGCTGAGATATAGATCAGTGGTTCTCAACCTGTGGGTCAGGACCCCATTTGGGGTCGAGTGACCATTTCACGGGGGTCGCCAAACAACGCAGTCCGCCATTTTCCCCCCTTTTCCTTAGCTGTGCTACTCCCTTTTATTCTATTGGCTTTTGAAAGCCAATAGAATAGACTCTCTGGAATAGAGTCTAATTCTATTTGCTTTCAAAAGCCAATAGGAATTGTCCAGGCTGTCTCTGCCCTGCTGAGCCCGCCAAAAGTCCCATTCTGCAAACGGTGCTGCACCAGTTGAGTAGTCCTCAACTTACGACCGGTTGAGTAGTCCTCGACTTACAACCGGTTGGTGGTCGCGGCATTAAAAAGGTTGAGAACCACTGATATAGATCAATTGAAGGAAATGTGAGGTGGAAATACAATACCCACACATAAATACCTACACACATATATACATATACCTACACAAACACACACATGCATTCCTCAACTTACAACCAGTCTTTTAGTGACTATTCGAGATTCCAGCAGTTCCCCATCAACTGTCAACAACTTGCTCTGCTTTTTAGAATGATTAGGTTGTGTTTATGCAGCATATTTTATCCAAGATGCGGATCAGAAAGCTATGTTAGTCTGTGGCAAAAACCTGACATGGAATCTGGTAGCATCTTATTTGCTAATTGATTTATCTAGTGATCCAATTTAATCTAATTACATCTATTTATGTAACCGCCTATAGTTGCCTTGTCAAGATGGGTAGCATAGCGCTCTAATAATAAATAAATACATAATAATTTATATAATTGCTCATCGCTTGCCTGGGACTTTGCGCAGCATACACAATTAAAACACAAAGCTAAACAATTCACATAATTCAAACGCAACCTCCAAAAACACAGTTTACATTTAAAAAAAACAAAAACTATATTCATCCAGAGTCCAGACTAACCAATCTTAGTGCCTTCTGCATTTAACTAGGTTGGTTAAAGCGGCAGCAACATTATTTGCTGAGTTAGTATAAATCTTGGTTAGCTTTTTGTGACTGAGTGGATTGGGTCACTGCAGCTCCCAGTCGCTCTGCCCAGATGGACACTTACAGAAGGGGAGGGAACAAATTGTGTTGTAAATTCTGCTGCTTTTGTGCTTGCCTTGTGACATAATAGGCAAGACTTGGGTCATGACATCTTGACATGCCTCCTGTTATTATGTCAAGAGTTCCTTTTAGTGCAGGCACTGATTATGGCCTAGTATCCCAACCCGTCTGAATCCCACTGGGCTGGTGATGCAGTGAGATGCCATAGTGCAGTGTTTCTCAACCTTGACAATTTTAAGGCATGTGGACTTCAACTCCCAGAATTCCACAGCCAGCGTTGCTGGCTGTGGAATTCTGGGAGTTGAAGTCCACATGCCTTAAAATTGTCAAGGTTGAGAAACACTGCCACAGTGGCAATTTACGAAGCCTTGACTTCTCTCACACTTGAGTCTGAGATGCTGATGCTGTACAATTGATGTAATGTTAATTGGTTCAAACGCAGCAAATAGTTACAGGCAGTCCTTGACTTACAACCATTCAAAATGTCATGACCACATTTGGAACACTGCATCCAGTTTTGGTCACCACAATGTAAACAAGATGTTGAGACTCTAGAAAGAGTGCAGAGAAGAGCAACAAAGATGATCAGGGGACTGGAGGTTGAAACATATAAGGAACGGTTACTGGAATTGGAGATGTCTAGTTTAATGAAAAGGGTGACATGATAGCAGTCTTCCAATAGCTCAGGGGCTGCCCCAAAGAAGAGGGAGTCAAGCTATTCTCCAAAGCACCTGAAGGCAGGACAAGAAGCAACAGATGGAAACTAAACAAGGAGAAAAACAACCTAGAACTAAGGAGAATTTTCCTGACTGTTAGAACAATTAATCAATGGAATAACTTGCCTCCAGAAGTTGTGAATGTTCCAACACTGGAAATTTTTAAAAACAGATTGGACAGCCACTTGTCTGAAATGGTACAGGGTTTCCTGCCTGAGCAGAGGGTTGGACTAGAAGACCTTCAAGATCCCTCCCAACTCCATTATTCTGTTCTTCTGTTTCAGTGGCAGTGAAAAAAGTGACTTAGGACTTATTGCCCCATCCCTGTGGCCACGGGTTCAAAAATTGGAGGCTTGGCAACCTGCGTGCATTTGCAACGTCCCAGGGTCACGTGATCCCCTTTTGCGACCTTCTGACAAACAAAGTCAATGGGGAAGCCAGATTCACTTAACAACCAGGTTACTAACTGAAAAGCTGCAGTGGTTCACTTAACAACAGTGGCAAGAAAAGGCGTAAAATGAGGCAAAACTCACTTAGCAATGGGAAGTCTGATCCCAACTGTGGTTGTAAGCTGAGACTACCTGTACCACCCCAGCTTGATTTTCCTTCTAACTTTCCAGGGGAGGCTGTTCATCTGGCCCGGGACTTTGGCTATGTGTGCGAAACAGAGTTCCCAGCCAAGGCAGCCGCTGAATACCTCTGTCGCCAGCACTCGGATCCCAGCGAGCTCCACGCCCGGAAAAACATGCTTTTAGCAACCAAGTAAGTAACAGGATCCCACCTGTGGTGGAAGACATGTTAGCATCAAAGTCAGCTTGAAGGATAAGGTACACGTTTTAGCAATTATACACGATGACAGTGCAGAAAATCCAATAAGCGTTAATAGAAAGCTATATTATTTCTCAAAGTGGAAAAAAAAACGGATGGGAACTAAGTGGATTTGGTGGAAAGTAAACTGTTTTAAACAAAGAGAAAATTTTATTCAGTCCTGTTTCCGTTGGGAAATCGCTTCTGTTTTTTTATACGCAAAATAGTAAAAAGAAAAAGAAAGAAATATAGACTTTAGTTTGAAGATCGAATAATTGCCTAGTTACAGAAATGGTTTATAGTAACTAAATGTGATGCAAAAAGTAAAGGCTGTAAATCTAGTTTCTATTACACTGTATGTACTGGAAAGAGTCAGAAGTCAATGCCTTTCCCCTCCCCCCCTTACTTTCTTTTATCCTTTTTATTTTAATTGACCTTTATTTTACATTATAAAAAACCTTAATAAAATATTGGGAATATGTCATGGAAAGGTAGGACTAGTTGCAGGTGGCAAATTATAGATATACAGACTTCTCCATTGTACTGATCATTAAAAATATAGATAGTATTCCATCTATACTACAACCAAGTGGACAAATAGTACTGAATGAAGCTTATCAAAGAGAAATCCAGTTTAGCAATAAGGAGAAATTTTATGTCAGTTAGAACAATTAACCAGTGGGACATCTTGCCTCTAGAAGTAGCGGGTGATTTTTAAGAAGAGACGGGACACCCATTTGTCTGGAATGGTATAGGGCAGGGGTAGGCAACCTTGGCTCTGTTATGACTCGTGGACTTCAACTCCCAGAATTCCTGAGCCAGCACGAGGGAACTATGGTCCCTTCATGACTCGTGGACTTCAACTCCCAGAATTCCTGAGCCAGCATGGGAGAACTATAGCTCTTTTATTACTCGTGGACTTCAACTCCCAGAATTCCTGAGCCAGCATGGCTCAGCATGGAAACCTCTCCCTTTCCCCTCAGCATGGCTGGCTCAGGAATTCTGGGAGTTGAAGTCCACCAATCATAAAAGAGCCAAGGTTGCCTCCCCTGGTATAGGGCCTCCTATTTGGACTAGAAGATCTTCAAGGCCCCTTCCAGCTCTGTTATTCTGCAATTCTGGAACCATTAATTTTACAACTGTTTGAAGTTACGCCAGCACTGAAAAAAGTGACTTACAGCCAGTCCTCACACTTACACCATCGCGGCATCGCCATGGTGACCCTGTCAAAATTCAGGCACTTGGCAACCAGGATGTACTTAGGAGAGTTGCAGCATCCTGGGGTCACGTGACCACCATCTGCAACCTCCCCAGCCAACTTCTGACAGGGAAACTCAAGGAAAGAAACTAGATTCGCTTACCATCTGCACGAGTCGTTTAACAATCGCACTGTTTCACTTAGCCAAACGGTTGTCAAATGGGGTGCGACTCACTCAACCGCTCCGCTGCTTTGCAGTGGAAATTCTAGTCCCAGTAAGTCGAGGACCAACTGCGCAGAAAGCCTGTGCAAAGAGCCTGCAGGCCCTTTGAAAAGGGTGGGAAATAAACTTGGGAGGGTCTGCAGGAGTACCAGCAACTGACGGCTGTCAGAATGAGCATAACAGCCGACTACAAGATCACACCTGCCTCTCTTCCCACCTTAAATATCCCATTTCCCTTTTTTTTTTTTCCTCCTTCTCCACTCCAGGCAAATCTGCAAAGAGTTTGCTGACCTGATGGCTCAGGATCGCTCCCCTCTGGGAAACAGCCGCCCGACACTCATCTTGGAACCTGGCGTTCAAAGCTGCTTGACGCACTTCAGTTTAATAACCCATGGCTTCGGAGGGCCGGCGATCTGCGCGGCTCTCACAGCGTTCCAGAACTACTTGGTGGAGTCCCTGAAAGGACTGGACAAAATGTTCATGAACAGCACGGGCAACGGTCACTCGGTGGGCGACGCCAAAACCTCAGAAAAGGATGTGAAGCATCGGAAATGACCCCTTCGGCAGGCAGTGACCCGCCATCTCTCCCCGTCGGAGCGTTCCTTCCCATTTCCAGGACGCGAGAGACAGGAAGGTCCTTCAACGCGCTTGGAAGTGTTGCCGGGGGCGGGAGGAGGCAGATGACGAGCCCTCCTCTCTCCTGCCGGGTTTTCCGAACTGCGACGGATGCATTTTTGAAACCAAGTCAATGAAAAAGAGAAGGTTGAAGAAGGAGGAGAAGAAGACGAGGGCGAGCCACTCTCGCTACGAGAAGAAATTAGTTAGTGCTTTGGGTTGACACATCTGGTTTTTCCATAGGAGAGACGGGAAGCCTGGCTATATGTGCAATTGTTTTGATGATGTTTATGGTGCTCCTTTGGGAAAAGTCCATGCTCGGACAAAGGTGGGGAGGCTCCAGGCAGCATTGCAAAGGAGCAAACCAAGACAAAGAGGTTTTCGGGTAGAATCTAGAGGAGAAACGTTTGGAATCAAAGCCTGCTTAGAGTCAAAGAGTACTGGAATTTTTTGACCCATGCAGCAGGTCAGGTCCAGACATCTGAACCAGAAAGAAAAGGCTCTTTTAATCACAAATGTACGAATCACCGGTCTTGAAGCTTCACGTGGCTTTCCTTTGCTACAGTCTCATGGCGAAATAAAACATCCCATGATGGAAAATATTCTCCAGCTTTGTTAACAGATTTTGGTCCAGTTAGACCTCATGGTGGAGGGGCTGATAGAGCCATCTTGGTAGCCCTCACCCCAACGCCAAAGGGGACACAATCCCTGCTCCTAGGCCTCCTCTTTTCTAGCAAAGTGTCTCCAGATTGAAGGTGAGGGGGGAGGTCCAAGCCAGCCTCCCCTCCCAAGTTCTAAAACAGACATGGCAAACACAAGGCCCGGGGGCCAGATGTGGCCCGTGAAGCCATCCTGGAAACAGTGAGGGAACGGCCCCCGCTGCCTTGGCCCTAGCCCAGGCTGGCCTGGAACCAATGTACAATTTTGTGGTGGTCATCTATGCTGAAACCCATTCAGTCTTAGCTCCGCAAGGCCATCTGGAAACAGCAAGGAACCGGTCCCACCCTCTGGGTGCATGCTGGGGAGGGGTCACCCTTTGTGAGGAATGAAGAAATGGACCATGCCTTGGCGCTTGCCCCAGTCGCACCCCCTTCTGCCAGAGACCCTCAGATCTGTCCCACTCCTGCCCAGGCCCCCACAGGCCCCTTTGACGCGAACGATGTAGAGCTGGCCATGCTCACCCAGTAGGCCACACCCACTCCATCTACGCCCACCCAGTAGGCCACACCCACCCTGGCCACACCCACCCTCCCACCCACCCCAGGGCAACCGCAATGCTGATGCGGCCCTCAGTGAAATTGAGTTTGACACCCCTGTTCTAAAACATTCATAATGCTATTAATATTAAATAATGGAAGAATAAATTAACAATTTGATTGGAAGCACAAGATTAGCCCTTGCAGGAGAGGCCAAATGGAACTATAATGAAATCTGTATATATTTATTTATGTGTAATTAAAGAAATTAAAAAAAAAGTTTTAACATGTCCAGTGTGCATTATTTAAAATGATCTAAGTTGAGACTTCTATGATTTTTATTATTATTATTATTATTATGAAAGAAATAAAGCCAGTCCTTGCAATTTTGGGGAACGAGGTCTTGGATGTAAAACAGGGTAGCAATGGACTACAGTTTGCAATGCAAATAAATTAAAGAGACATTTTAGCCCATTTGGATTTTTCTCTCCTCTCTTCTGCCTTTTGTACTTCCTAAGGTTTCTCTGGAAAAGCTGCAATAGATGTTATGAATTCCACCCAACAAAAAATGTCACCCTTATTATTGGAATAAAATCTCTTTTTATTTGCAACCATCTCCAGACTTGTATTTTGCTATGGCAGTAAGTGGCGCAAAGTGGAGTGGGGGGGGGTGATTCAGGGTTTTTTCTAAAGCTTTAAGCCTATTCTAACGTCATGCAGCAGCTAGCCTGGCATTTTCTATTTAAAAACAGCGACAAATTGCATTGCTACATTTCAGCAATGAGGTTGGAAAAGATACTAGGGCCATCAAAGCAAGGTGGTGATGGGTATGGGGGTGTGTGTGTGTGTGTGTGTGTGTGGTTATATGTGGCCCGGCCTTAGGGCTTCTTGTGGCCCACCCCTAATGGAATTGTGAAAGTGCTGAGTCACATCTTCCCAAATGGTGATGCAATCTAAATTGGCCAAAGCTCAGTAAGGACCCCAAGTGGTTAGTGATGGGGACCATAACAAAGACCTTGTGCCAACTGAAACAGAAATGCCAGTAAACCCATCCCCCTTCCCTCCCCTCCCCTCCCCTCCCCTCCCCTCCCCTCCCCTCCCCTTCCTTCCTTCCTTCCTTCCTTCCTTCCTTCCTTCCTTCCTTCCTTCCTTCCTTCCTTCCTTCCTTCCCTCCCTCAAACATTTTAAAGCCAGATGGTTTCTCTCCATCAGTCATCTAAAACACTATGACTTTTCCAAGCAAAATGAGGCTTCTTCTCAAATCAGTTATATACTTCACAATTAAACACAGAAGATAGCTATTGTGTTGTAGTGGAAATAGAAGTGACTAGAATATAAATACAGAACAATTAAATGTCATAGTACAGGTTGTTCTTATTTGGCAACTGCCCAATTTAGTGACCATTTACAGTTACACCAACAATGAATAAAATGACATGACCAAGCTCAGCAGTTATGCCCTTTGCAGGTCCATAAAGCAAAAGAAAGCTGATGATGGTAAGCATGGTTCATTAGCAACCACTTCATTTAACAACTGAATTGCCAGTCCCAATTATGGTTACTAAATGCAGATGACCTGCATATTAGGAATAAAATTAAAATTAAACGTAACAATGAGATGCTTGCATAACGCTGGTAAAAATTAAATACTTGAGACTTTATACTGTGCGAGGTATAAAAGTTAGCTATGGGAAAAATTATTTTGATTTGTATAACATAAGCAGCTCGCTGAACAGTCTATAGATAGTTCTTGATTTACTACTGGTCAGCTATTGGCTGTTTGAAGTTACAACAATCCCAAGCTTATAACTGAGTTGTAAAGTTCCGATGGTCATTCCCCACTCCCACAATCCCACAACTGTATTTCAGGAGCTTGGTAACTGGCCCACATTCACTGCCGTTTGTAGTGTTCTGCAGTCACATGCCTGTAATTTACAACGTTTTTGCCCAAAACCCAGCATTTACTTCTGATTGTCGGCAGAAATGTCCTATAGCAAAGGGTTCGCTGAACAATCACTGCAAGAAGGTCGGTCATGATTTAAATCCGATCAGTCACATGGTTGATCCATTTTACAACCTTCACGACTTACAACTGTTATGGGCAGGCTCCATTACAGTTGCAATTTGAAGACTACCTGGAATGGCTTTATTCTCACAATGTGCTGAGATGGTTCAGATGGAATGTGCGCAAGTGCACGTGCACACAACCCACGTTTGCAAGCCGTGCAAAACCCAGATGGCTGGTTTAGAAGAGAGCCAGCTTCCTCTGCTGGTTCTCTCCTTGTCCCAACCAGCATGTTTTGTTCCTAGTTCTGATGTTGCCCTACCCTCAACCCTGTAAGGCATCGCAGCAAATGGAGCCATCTTGAAAATGGAAAATGACGTTTCTGAGCCATTTGGTCCAGCGCTAATGTGCTATTAAGTAGTTATCCAATAAGTGCATTCATGTAGCTTAACTGGAGCCAGCTGTCCAGAGGAAGGGAGGAAAGTCTTGAATGTCAACGTGAGGGCTGACTTCCCCCCTTCTTCTCATTTTGAAATGAAAAGGCCTATTCTGGGATTACAAGTATTTGCCACTTCCGGAGTGGCTAATTTCGTTAACAAAGATTTGGACAAGGCTTGTTTCAGCCTCTGTATCAAAAACCTTCCTGACCTGGAATCCAGAGCAGGTCTGTGGCCGGGAGAGGAGTGGGTGGGAAGAGCAGAGGCGGTGGGGGTGGTGGTGGAGGGGACTAATAGGCAGGGCAGGTTGGTGCCTGGGGGGTTATTCAACACACTGTTTCCTTGAATGATCAGTTTTCATCAATAAAGGGCATTTTCCTTGGACTTTTTAACTGGCGGTTGTATGACATTAAAAATAGCAGTATTTTATCCCCTTGCTCCCTAGCAACCAAATTCACCCCAGGATGCAGAAAAGAACATATTTTATCCTGGGGTCTCTCCCCCCAAGGATCTATTTCAGGACTGATATTTTAAACTTTTTTCTAAACTACACATAGTCCTCGATCTACAACTGTAATTGAGCCCCTAAGTCATGACAGTCATTAAGCAGAGAATCACATGACTGTGCCTTTTATGATTTTTTTTTTTTTTTTTTGCAGCGGTTGTTAAGTGAACCCATTGTTGTCTACGGGCAGGTTTTTGGTTTTTTTTTTTTTTTTTTGGGCCAGAAACCAGAAGTTGTAAATTATGATCACGTGACCAAGGAATGCTGCAAATGGCTGTAAAATGTGGGCTGGTAGCCAAGCACCCAAAATAGGATTGCTTGACCAGGGTTGGCTGTCAAAACTTAAAAATCTGCGTTGTTCCTTTTTCAGGGTCTGTTGTAACTTTAAATGGCCCCTAAGCGTTGTCAATGGAGGACTCCTTGCAGAGGGTAAATGGTCCATTTTCAACAAGCCAAAGTGAATCCATTTTGCTGATAACACCAAGCTAGGCAGGGTGAGAGAAATCAAATAAGACTTGTCAGAAGTTCAAGGGGATCTCTCCACAATGATGGAGTTCTAAATTGGTGGCTGCCGTCTCACACAAGCCAATGCAAAGCAAGGTGCAGTGGTGCAAAAAAGTCAAATTTTGCCTATATGCAAAGTGCAAATTGACCTGACAGAGAAGGAGCCTTGCCGAGAAGTAGGCAGAGGAATCGCCCCCAGATTTATTAGAGATGGAAATAAAGATAACATTGTCATATCTGGGAGCACATTAGGAACATTCGATATAGTAGATCAGGAGGAAAGATCAATCCATTTTTTGCAAAGATAGCCAAGGGAGACCGTAAGAGAAATGCAGTCTGTTTAAAAAAATATGCATGGTGTGGAAATTGCAATCCAAGACCAATAGCAGATGTTTTTTCTCTTTTATCTAACACTATGGTTGGCAGAGGAATTGTGGGAGTTGAAGTTGCCAAGGTTGGTCATCCCAATCTAATACATTGTTAAAGTATGAGAAGTACTGCCCTCCAAATGAGCTGATGGCCAGGAATTGAAGTGGTTGTAAAAGGTGGACAGACAGCATCGGATTCTCAGTGACCACTAGTTTTAAGGGCTGTTTGCTACTTTCTGAATTAAAGGCATCTTCCCTGGAAAATTAGCAGGTGGGACAAGGGTGTCCACAAAGCGTGGATGTTGAGATGGCACAACTGAAACACCCTGAACTGCACTTTTCAACTTCTAAAGCAAGGGTCCCCAACCGCTGGTCTGTGGACCGGTACCAGTCCACACCAGTATGCATGCCAACATCCGGTCTGCACAAACAAGCAAAGCCCCATCCGTGGGATGCAGGCAGCACACAAAACCACGTATTCTTCGGTCCGTGGAAAAACCTCTCTCCAAGGAACTGGCCCCTGGTGCCCAAAAGGTTCTAAAGCAGTGGTTCTCAACCTGTGGGTCGGGACCCCATTTGGGGTTGAACGACCATTTCACGGGGGTCGCCAAACAAGGCTGTCCGCCATTTTTTCCCCTTTTCTTTGGCCACGCCCGTGGCACCTGGTGATGTATAAGTGGTTGGGGGGTCACCACAACATGGGGAATTGTATTATGGGGTCGCGGCATTAGAAAGGTTGAGAACCACTGTTCTAAAGGGTACACCTGAAACTTCACAACACACCCAAGCTCAACTAGAGCAACTTTAGAGTTGCTTTGCAAAGTGAGATGAGTGGCATATAAATTTAATATAAACAAATACAATAAACTTGATTTTTTTTTTTTTTGCTCTGGTCCGATATTGGCAATTGCTCCTTCTTGACATCTTGGGAGTGTAAAAGCTTCTGCTGCATATATAACTAACTTCAATTACAAATGGCAGTTATTTATTTCCTGCGTTTTGCCTCTAGCTGTTTCTCTTTTTGTTCAAAACAAGCACACAAAAGGTTGAATCAATCAGGAGAATGGAAGAGGTGGTTCTTAATAAAAAAAAAAAAATCAAGTGAAATTCAAGTAAAACTTGAAGGTTGATTTTTTTCCCCCATTCAAAAATAGTAGGATAAAGTAAAAAAAAAAAATGGTGTTCTATTTACATAAACGGCTGGGGAGAGAACTGGGCAGTTCTTTGTCTGCACCTTAATGCAGGAACATTTTTATTTTTTTCCCCCATGCTTGCAACTCTGCCTTTTTCCAGTGTAACATATCCCCATATCTATAAAGTCAGAGGGGATTTCGTAGTAGGTCCGTTGCCCTGAGGCAAAACATATGTTCCATTCTAATCCAACTCCATCAGGCTGTTTGGGGGGTGGGGGGGGTTGAAATCATTAATATACATAAAACTATCACCTGCCTGTCGGGAAGGACCAGCTATGAAACAAACACACACATTTATACACACACACAGGATGCCTATCCAATTTAACAGTGGCAATTCTTTGTGCAATACACAAGACATACGTACTTTCAAAAAAAATGTGCATTTTCTTTTCGCTTTCCTCTGATCCACAACAAAGATCATCTTGACTTGCAGCATTGTTAAATACATTTTCAACCCAATATTTAATGAACAGAAACCATGACCAAAAAAACTCAAGTGTCATCCAAGCATCTGTGACTTCTGGCTGATGACAAAAATACGCAGAAAGCCACTGGGATCCATGGTGACATTAATTAAAAGGCCGATTAAAGGAGCGGCATTAATTCAAGGTGAAAAGGGGAGAAAACTAACAGCATTGGAAATTGGTCATCTTTGCTGTTTCAGTTCAGAAAGAACTGCTACAGTTATATCAGTGACCACCCTTGAGGTATTCTGGGAACTACAACTCCCAGCATTCCCTGACACTGAGTAGAAAGGGCAAAGGAAAACAGGAATCTTGTCACACTTTCAAGGCCGAGCAACTGAAAATGGAAAATGACTTAAAAGAAAATCTTAGGTTCATATTCTAAATATGCCACCCAGAGTTGCTTCTGCTGAGAGGGATGGCTATGTAAGATAGGTAGGTAGGTAGATATTCATGCACCCCAAGACAATGGGTTTACAAAATGTACCAAAACTGACTACTGTAGCATTTTGCGTCAACTCAGCCTTGATTTCTAATGTTGTACAGGAATGTGCTATACAGAATGTATCAGTGTTTCTCAGCAATTTTAAGACGTGTAGCTTTTAACTCCCAAAATCGGCTGGCGAATTCTGGGAGCTGAAATTCACCCATCTTGAAGTTGCTTGAGTTTGAGAAACACTGATTTAGGGGCATGGTGAGCCAAACGGATCAGTTGTCTTCTTCTGTTGTTGAGTTCACAGAACATGTGTAGCTTACAAGTGGTTAGTCTATGTCTGAACTCGAGCAATTGTAGTTTGATAAACAATGTTTTAATGGGAGGTATGAACCAATTTGGATAAGGGATCTTTGCTCACTTCTATTTCATGGGAAACTTAATCCACTGTTAAATGCTACAGACCAACTTGTTGCCTAAAAGTTAAAAACCATTTTATTAAAAAAAAAAACCACGAAAAACTAGCAACCTGAGCTAGGCCAATAGTGCGCTCTCTCTCTCTCTCTCTCACACACACACACACACACACACACACACAGGTTGACCTAACCCCCGCATAGAAACCACTCAAAAAAATGTTGCAAAAGTAGTTGAGAAGGGGGGGGGGGAATCAAATTTTTATTTGCATTTGGAAACAGAATTAAAGATGTTCTGGTTTTCCAACAAGTACAAAAAGGAAATCGGAGACTGGCAGAGGAAGAAGAGCCTGGACACTCAGGCCACTGATTTCAGGAGTGGGACATTGGTCACTTCGTGGATACCATCTTTATCGATGAACCGGGCGTTGAAAGAAGGCAAGTTCAAGATGAAGCGTTTTTGGAGCTGTGAGAGGGAGAGAAACCACTTGGTTCAACATTGGCAGCAAGTCAGGTGAGATCTGTATTATTTCTCAAGGGTCTCTTTCAGATTCTTTGCCCCACTGATATCCTTACATCCCCCCCCCCACACTCACACTAATCCCACCTATTAAAACTGCTCTCCACCCCTGCTCTGAGAGTTAAGAAACTCAGAAGGTTAGACTCCAGTTGCAAACATGGAGAAGAGGAAGAACTGATGTTTCCCACCATCATCCCCAACTAGGGCTAGGAATTCTGGGAGTCGCTGTCCCAAGGAATCTGGAGCATGCTCAGTTAAGGACAGAGACCCATAAAACATTCCCAGAGGAGAGCAATGAAGATGCGAATCAGAGCCATCCTTTATCCAGAATTGAGAGTTTTTAAATGGAAAAATTACACCACTGATTTCCGGCCCTGCAAATCTCAGCAGGCCTGAGAACTTCAAAAAAGGGATATCTGAAAAATAGGCGATGAGCAGATTGCCCATCTGAACCGCTGTTGTGGCATTTTTTTCATACTGGATCTTTTTAGGAAAAAAAAAGGTTTTATTTTCACCAACAGCATACTCGTATGGTCCATATTTAAGCCTCTGTGAAATGAAACCTATCAGAGGAATGAATCCAGAAAATCCTCACAAATTAACAATAGCCCTTGGAAAATTCCATTTGAGCAGCATAAAGGGAATTAAAAAAAAAACTCAGCCCCCTCTTTATGAATGTTGGAAGAGTTATGGTACCCATCACAGAGAATTTCACTCCATGGGCTTTTTTAATGCCCGGTGGTAAAAATGTAGTCCTATAAATTATATTAGTTGTAGTTGTAGTTCTGCAAACTATATTAAAGGCTGGAGTATGGTGTACCGTCATCTCTGCAATGTTGATGGTAAGAGAACAAGGAACGTACACCTCTTCAGATAGAGGAAGGATGCACAATTTGAAACTGAACAGGGTGCCTTCACTTCTAAATTTGGTAGTGTGTAGATCACTACCGTGGCAACTTTCAGATCCCACGGCTGGCTGAAGAATTAAAGTCTACCTATTTGAAAGTTGCCGAAGTTGAGCAACAGTGGCGTAGTTGGTATAACCAGCGGAGAAACTTACTTATAAACTGAAGTGGATCAAAGGGATCCGAAGAGAAACAGGGCAATTTTAACATGGCAAGCTCCTCGTGTCAGTGTAAAGAATTGGCATTATGAACCACCAGATCCGTCAAAATACTTTCTGAACTGGTTAATAAAATACGCAAGAAAGAAAAAAGAGTGAGAGCAGCTACTGGGCCAGGTTTATACTGAGAAGGCAAGTGGAAGTTTCCTAGTCCTGGTGGTGTTTTAGGAGGCTCTCAATGGCAACCAGAAAATTTCAGCTTCAGCCCAAGAATTCTGATTCTTAGTAATGTCACATAGCAATGAGCAGCATATAAAGATAAATACATAAAGGCAAATAAAGATAAACAAACAAACAGTTTCTCATTCCATCCTCTCTGGAAATAGCATTTAAAAAGTTATATTTGGCTAGATTGGGACCTTCTCATGATTCAAAGTTCTCCTAAATCAGTGGTTCTCAACCTGTGGGTCGGGACCCCATTTGGGGTCGCCAAACAAGGCTGTCCGCCATTTTTTCCCCTTTTCTTTGGCCACTCCCCTGGCACCCGGTGATGTATAAGTGGTTGGGGGTCACCACAACATGGGGAACTGTATTATGGGGTCGCGGCATTAGAAAGGTTGAGAACCACTGTCCTAAGGGCACACCAATTTCCATCTTTCCCCTTTTTAGTGAAAACGATAACATCACTGAACACAGGAACGAAACAAGGCAAGATTCTTGGCCAGAAGAGGCGGAAGAGCAGGCCACTGGCATTAAATATAGCAAACTCAAGTTTTCTTTCCTCTTGTTGAGAAGAAAATTTGGGATTTGGAATCTGGAAGACATTGAAGAAAATGAAGATCAGGAGGGGCAAAAGAATTCTTCCCTGGTAGCCAATTTCACGTCTGGCTGCCTTAGAGGAGACGAGAATTCAGCAGCAGAAGAGAGGCAAAAGGGCTGGCTGAACAAAGAGAAGCAAATCTGCATCATTTTCCTGGGCTGAGGCGAGTCACTCACCTCCTCCAGACATTTCTTGAGAACTTCTATTGCTTCTTCACGGGTGATACCTGAAGGAAGAAAGGAGACCCCGGCAGACAGCTTTAATTAGTGGCCAAATCTCGGAGCCCCCTCCCCCCCAAAAAAATCCTCTTTCATGAAGTTTGAATGGTCTTTCAGTAGTGCACAAAGGAACTGAAGTTGCTTTCCCAGCTCAGAGAAAACTCATTCCACATGTAAGGAGGATCACCTGTGCCCCAGCTCTGTGGCCCAACGAGCCGTCCAAAATCGATTTGTTCTGCATTAATGGGAAACCCGGCAGAATTCTGCCTCCCACGGCCAGGGGCTCGGAGAGACTCGGCACTTCGGCCTTCTTGAGCTTATTATGGCTTTAAATGAGCTCCATCTGTCCGGGCTTGGCTGCGAGTCCCTCAAGGGAGCCAGGAGGTGTTCCTCCGCAGACTTTTAGTGCTTTGCTCCCTGTTGGGTGTTGAGTTTTAACAATGGCACTGGCACGTGTGCGCAGAGTGCCTCGGCTATTCTTACATTTCGGAAGAAAGCTTCGCCCATGCTGAGAACAACAAAATGTGATGAAAATATAAGAGAAGGTGGGGGGGAGGGAGGGGGGAGGGCATAATTCTGCTCCATTCTGGGGGGGGGAGGAGGTGGAGCTGCAGGAAGGAAAAGGCAGCCAAGAACATCTTAAAACAACTTAAAAGCAGGGGCAAATTTGGCACACACGTTGTCTTTTTAGTGCCGTATGCGGGGACGTCTATCCCACTGAATTCTGCAGGACGTCAGTTAGCCTGAGCGAATTTTTCACACTGATGTCAACAGAGGAGCCAAGGGCAACCAACACAGCACAGGCTGGGTTGAAACCAGAGCCAGTTTGGAGAGCCAGTTTGGTCTAGTACAGGAGTGGGCAACCTTGGCTCTTTTATGACTTGTGGACGTCAACTCCCAGAATTCCTGAGCCAGCATGGCTCAACTTGGAAGCCTCTCCCTTTCCCCTCAGCATGGCTGGCTCAGGAATTCTGGGAGTTGAAGTCCCTGAGTCATGAAGGGGCCAAAGTTGCCTACCCTGGTCTAGTAGTTAAGGCACCGGGCTAGAAAGCAAGAGACTGTGAGTTCAAGTCCTGCCTTAGCCATAAAAGCCAGTTGGGGGGCTTTGGGCCAGTCCCTCTCTCTCAGCCCAACCCACCTCACTGGGTTGTTATTGTGGGGAAAACAAGAGGAGGAAGGTGTGTTGTATATGCTCGCCACCCTACTTATAAATAATAATAAAGGCAGGGTACAAACAAACAATCTCTGATTTTTAAAAAAAATCTACATGAAGAATCTGGAACCTACAAAAATTATTTTGGGAAACGGGGAGGATTTTATGTTACCAAAGCGTATAGAACGTTCTCTACAGATTTTGAGAAGCATTATAACGTGTTAGATTTATTATTAAATGTATGTGCTGCCATCTCAGTTGTCCAAGGTGACTCTGCTTCTAAATGTCCAGAAAAGTTGTTGAGCTCCAAGTGCCTAACTTTTGATTGCTAATATCCAATAATACCCAATGCCAAGCCTGCCTTCTACAAATCCCAATGGATAAAAATTTTGCTTGATAAAGATGAAACCTCCACGTTGCCACAGGTGTCCTGCTTCACATTGGTCCAACTTACCTGGTTTATAGTAGCGGTCAAGAATGCTGAGTGTGAGAAATGCCCCATAGCCATGGGCTGCAAAGGGAACTTTAGCTAAAGAGGCAAGATAATCCATATAATAAAGGGCAGGACCATCGTGTTCATCATAGCCGGCGAGGAGGAGGTTGACATGATAAGGACTCTGCAACAAAACCAAGGGGAAGGATGTGTATGTGTCAATAAACCATGTTGGCTTGAGGTAATGTGTGATACAGCCCAAATTATCTGGGAAAGTTAAGACTGGCGAAGAATGAATCGGATTAACACTGACAGGAACTCACAGAGTTAGATTTGCTATCCTTTAAAGTATAAGTTGCTATCCCAGTGCCTTTAGAGATCACCAAGCTGTGAGGATGGGGTAACACAACACCCCCCCCCCCAATTTTCAAGTTAAAAGCTGAACTTAGCATTTGAATGTCGACCTTCCGTAAAGTGGACTGGACTGGACGAAGTTAAACTTGATATTGATTAATGTTAAGCTAGTTGTCGTATGTTTAATATTTCAGCCCTTCTGGGCTGAACATTACAAGATCAGTAGAAATTTTTGGTGAGTTTGCAGGAGTCCCACTTAAGGTTTTGAGATGGGATATTTGTAATCCATCATTGCTTGCAAAGGGAAGAAAGTTGAATTGCTAGTTAATAAACGCAAACAGCCAATTTGGTGTTGTGGGTTAAGGGCAGCAGGCTAGAATTGGGGAGACCGTGAGTTCTAGCCCTGCCTTAGGCACAAAACCAGCTGGGTGACCTTGGGCCCCTCTCTCTCTCCTCATCCCCTAATAAAAAGCAGGCAAGGGCAAACCACTTCTGAAACTGTTTCAAGAAAACTGCAGGAACTAGTTTAAGCAGGTGCCAGGAGTCAAAACTGACTAGTAGGTACCAGCCCTTTCCTGAAAACAATAGATAAAAGGCAGACAAGACTCAAAATCAACCTTTCACATCCTGTTCCTGTCCATATAACCTAATTAGGGGAACTGAAGACCAGTTTGGGGAAGAGACTTCTGTTTAACCATAGTTGGACAATATATAATTTTATTCATTTTCCCCCAAAGAAGCCAAGATGGCTGAAACAGCAGACATCTACAAGGACATAACATCAACAATATTTTGAACCTCATGTACAGAAAAGGAGCAGCAAGGTTTCTTCATTTAAATCTAAAATTCAGAAATGATTAAGATTCGTCTCAAGGATGATAAATACAACTATGGCCATTTCTAGTCTTAAAGTGGCTGGAGGCAAAACTTTTTTTTTTTTTAAATAATTCCCCAGAAATAAGGGTGGGTAGAAAAAGATCATTTTCAAGATTAAATACATTTTCAATTATGGTAAAAAAAAAAAAGAACGAATTTTTTTTGGAAATAAATATGTGTTAGCTTATAGGAAATAGGGATTTTAAGTAGCATACGATCTATTTATTTTATTCTTTTTCTTATTCTTATTCTTTCTCTTTTTAGTCTTATTTATTCCTTAAGAAAGGTAAAAGTATTGGGTTGGGAAAACAGAGAAAAACAGATTTAAATATATTAAATGTAATTAATTCTGAGAAGACCTTAACCAGTAAAAATGTTTAGAACATTGTGGGAAAGACAAATGTAAACAAGAACTGTAAACAGGATATATGATGAGACAACCAGAATAACAAGATAGAAAAGGAATATTATATTGATGTGATTATTATTTGTAGAAATATTAGAAAACTTTTATAATTATCATTTATTAAAACAATAAGAATTCTATTTACTTAAGGTTGGCAAAAGAGGACATTATGGGGAAAAGAGGAAATCAAGTAAAGTTATTATGTGGATTACAGATTATAGAATTTAATTGTTAATGAATGTTTGATAAATGTAAACCCAGACAACGCACTGTCTACTGAATATTAAGGTGTTTATATTAAAAAATTAATAAAACATATTTTTAAAAAAAGTCTTATCATTTTATGATTGCTCCAGGTCTCCCCATCTCCATTTTGGGATAAATGCATTGAGATCTTTTCCCCCTTTCTTTTAAAAGGTTAACAGCTACTATTGAAGACTTATAAATTGGTTGTTTTTCTCCTGAAAAAAAGAGAAAAGTTGGCCAACTTTCACCAATTGTCCATAAAACTTGGGCATATGGTTAGAGTAGACTCCATGGGCTGTCCAACAAGACATGTTCCTTTTAAAGTATTATTAAGCAAGCAATCTATGCCAGCAAGAGATTATTTTTAGAAAGAAATCTGGGAAAATGTCAGAAGGGTTTGGGACTGAAAGCTGCTCCTCAATTCTGGCATTGATTAATTAGCCCGCGTTAACACTCCTTTATTTACACCTAAGCATCTTGCACATCTAGAAGCCGTCAACGGAAAGTTCTACTGTAATTGGCGAATCAAGTTCCGTACCACAAACATGGCTTCTAGATGCCAACTTTGAGCCGTGTCTGTATCAGATGTCAAAGCATACATACATAAATGATGTGCAAGCTAATTAGAGCCAGACAGCTGTGCAGCAATTTGATTGGGAAGGCTGGTTGGGTACAAGGGACTGCAGGAGACACTTCCAAGTTCTTTCAAATGTCTCCTTTCACCCTTTCCTTAGTTTGCAAGGAGAAGCGTAGATATGGGGAGCTACACTTTAGGACAGAAGCTGCCCCCAAATCACTTTCTGCTCTCAGTTGATGCAAATCAAATTCAATCTACCTATTATTATCTTGTTATTACCTGGGTACATTTCCACAATATAGAGCTGTTACTAGCAACTTCTGGTGCGATGCACCACAGCATCCCAGTACGTTTCGTAACAGATATATGCAATATGCCCCATAAGTTGGTAGACTGAATGAAGAAACTCTTTTCTCCTGAACCTGTCAAAGCAGGAGCTTTTCCTGCTAAAGCCTTTTTAAAGAAGTTCTACAAATTTCAAAATTTAATCGGATTGATGAAAAGGGGGGGGGTGAGGGTGAGGTGTTACCCGTATTTTCCTCTCAACTTTAGGAAAGAAGCTAAGATGTAGGCCTGAAAGCAAATTGCTTGACATATTTTTAAGAAAAAGAAGTTTGCGTGTCTTTTGCTTTTGGGGGGGTTGCTTCATTTTAATAGTTTTAAGTGTTTTGTTTTCGACTACATTTTCAGCACTTTATCTACCCTTTTGAATGGAAAAGTGGGATATCCAGAAATAAAAGGGAGAGATTACAAGAGCAACATTTGTGACATTCCCCGGAGACAAACTGGGGACAAGGCAGCAAGATCCCGTTGTGTAGGCCTAGGTTGTGTTAATTCCTTAGCAACGGTGGCCCTGCTGGTTAGGAAGATGAGGGATTTGGCAGTTGGAAGACATAAGGATGGAGAAAAGATGCAAGCTTTCCCCTTCAAGGCTTCATACAGGCCACAATGCAAAGCCCACCAAGAGGTAACTTAAGTGTTCTAAAGTAAGGAAGAGTGTTTAGGCTAAATGTTTTTGCCTGGAAAAGAAGAAAAGATAAACGAGCACAGATCAAGACAATGTATACCACTTGAGGAAAGGGTCATATAAATCTAGATTATCTAGCTAGGGAAGCTCCCTGCAGTTCCCGTGCCCCTGCCCCGTGCCCCTGCCTTGAGCCTTGTTTACTTGCTTTTGATGTAGGAGATGGCCAGGCTGAGCCTGAGGGCAGGGTCAAAGGCATCATTAGTTTGGAGTCTTTACACCGCTGTAAACCCTCTTAAAGTCCACTGACTCTTATCCGGTGCCAGTTTGCCTTCACTGTTCAGTAGGATTCAGATTCTTGTGTATAGGTGGCATGAAATAAACTTGTAGTGCTTTCCAACTCTATCCTGATTCCTGACTTCTTGCACCTGACATCTAGTCTGCCTTTGGTGACAAGGTGGGTACATGCTGACTTGCTGGGAAAAAAATATATAGCTGGTCCTCAGGGTGTTGTAGCTGAGTAACAACTGAAACCCCAATTAAATATTACTACCTGCCTGTAAACCGTGAACCCTAGCAACAAACAATCAAGATTCACTTTAGATTTTATAATTACAAGTTATAATTACAGTGATTGATACTTTTTAAAGAGCAGCTAGGAAAGTTTCACTTGTGGGCGGGCAGGTTAAAAGGGAAGATTCAGGCAGAGTCTTTTGCCTTCCCCCATTTTTCTAGGACTGTACTGACATTATTTCTTAATATCAGTACAATGCTAGAAAAATGGGGGAAGGGAATGCATCTCTACCCCATTATTCTGATTTAAAATAACAACAGTGATTAGAAAGAGCGTGACATCCTTCAACATTTACAACTGGAAGGAACAGTGGTGACAACTGCACCACCAACACACACACAGCAAAACTGGTGACAAACAATGGAGGGGGGAGACTGGCATTCGACATCTGGCGGAAGCCAAAGTCACAAGTGAGAGGAAGAAAAGGAAATAGGGGTGCGAGGAAGGCATCCCACCAAGCGTGGACAGTCAGCAAGGAGCTGATAACCTGCCTTTGGACCCAGGCCAGGCTGAGGCCCCTGTAATTAATTGCTTCATAAGAAGCTACACTTGACTGGGGAAGGGTAATGCCCGTGTTGAGAAAGAGAGGGATGGCATCGCGCAATTCTTCATGCAACCTCACCGTTGCATTCTCAGAGATAAATAGGAAGACAAGGACCCAAGAAAATTCAGAACTCCTAATTTGTATTTGATAAGAAACTGCATTTCAAATAGATGCAGACCCCGCTCGGTTTCCAGGGACTCAAATGATTCATTGAGCAAAACCAGCAAGAACCAACTTAAATTAAAACTCTCTGGATGTGCGATGGCACAACATTAACTGTCCCATGTATGCTGTGGCCTTGGGACATGCATAGCACGTAAAAGCATCCTCTGGCTGACGAGATGCCCACAGACTATCAATGGGTTTGGGGCAACAAGGGTCTTTATCTGCTCCAGGTATTCATGAAGGGGGGGGGGAATGATCTGTTGTAACTGAAAGGTCAATTTTTTTGCCTGAGAAGACTGCTACGTCTTCCTCCATATCTCTCAAAAACATTACTTCTCTTATTTAGTCATTTTAATAACACACAGCTCTATAAAAAAAATTGGCAATGCTGTAGAGCCATCAAGCTCTGATGCTCCTCTGAATGATAAAGCAAGCTAAAATGTGGGATTTTGTGACACAAATGAGAGCACCCAGTGTA